TTCAAGGTCCTGAAACTGCGGCTGTGGGCTGAAATTGTTACCTCAAATTGGTTTTAAACTCCAGCGAAAAACAACAAAAAAAAAGTCAAAGATTGAAGGGCAGAGAAAACCAACAAAATCCAGACTGGTGATGCACCATGCATGTAAAACTATATTCTTGATGTTTCCCTTTTTTTTCTGGAGGAATGCTGACTTTGGGAGATCGGAATCTTGATTTAATTAAGCGCAAGTGGAAAGGTTTCATGTCGGCTGCGTACCTGTGGGGCAGCTCGTACTGGGATTAATTTGGTCCAGACAGCTCCCAATGTGTTCATTAGGGCCCTGATCAGGTTCTGCGCAGGTGCAGACGGTTAGTCTGCACTGACAGTGAATAGTACTGATTGTGTTCGGCATAAAACACCATCTGTTTCGGCAGAGGGAGCAGGGGGGATGTCTCAGCTATCAGCCTGTGAAAAGTCCGCTTTTTCTGGTCTACATAGCTGAACCGACCTGCAGCGTGGGGATCCAGAGATTTGGAGAGCAGGACAGAGAGGGGGAAAGATACAGGGAGTGAGAGAGCAGGACGGAGAGGGGGAGAGAGAGAGAGGGAGTGAAAGAGCAGGACAGAGAGGCGGAGAGAGAGACAGGGAGTGAGAGAGCAGGACGGAGAGGCAGAGAGAGAGACAGGGAGTGAGAGAGCAGGACAGAGAGGCAGAGAGAGAGACAGGGAGTGAGAGAGCAGGACAGAGAGGTGGAGAGACAGTGACGCAGTGCAGAGACACTGAAGAAGATGCTGTGAGTCTGGAGAATATTTTTAGGAAGATAAGCAAACCCGGTGGTAAACTAAAATGTGACTTCGATTTTGCTTTTGTGTTAATAAAAATCCAAATAATTGCTTGCAAGAGTTTATCTCTAAGTGTCTGACACACAGGGGGGGTCTCTCTGCTGCCCCCACTGCAGGGCAGGGTGCCAGGAAGACACAGAGCAGCCCGGACTCTCTCTGAGCGAGGTTCTCCAGGTCTGGGTCTAAAGTCTCCTCTGAGGGACAGCACCCTCGCGAGCACTGACCACACTGGGGCACCGGAGTGCACACTGCTGTCCAGAGGAGAGGAGCTCCTCCTACTGCCCCATCATCACCAATCACAGCAGCGAAACACTGGTCTTTAAAGGTCTCCCACCCCAGTAGTAGCCAGCAGTAGTTGTCACCCAATTAAAAAAAAATATTCCTCAATAAAGC